GTTCTTTTCGGCTCGTTAAAAATTAATCTTGCTGCCGCGTTCTGGATTAATTGTAAAGGTTTGATAGTACTAATATAATATTATAATGACCAGTGGTCGAATTGTAAAAAAAAACAAATTCAGGGGGGATGGCGGGGCGGGGGTCCTGTACCAAATTTTACACAATGATAACAAAATTTGTCTAATTTTTAAACACATTATTTAACAAAAAATGAGCTTTCTTAAATGAATTATGATTTATACGCTGTTTTCCTTCTGGGGCCTGAAATGGGGGATTTTTGTCAATAATTAACCAAAATTTTGCTGTATGAATAAATGAAATAATATGAAATGAATAAATATGACACAAACTGCCAGTAGGTGGCAGCAAGTCCCTGTTTTAATAAATGATTCACTGAATCACTCTGTCAAACGATTCGTTCAAAACGGCTGATTCAATTAGAAACGAAGCATGTGACTGCCTTTATGAATGGATCAATGAATCACTGGCTCACTTGAATCGTTCAAAAACATATTCATTCGGAAATGAAACACCACATTGTTGCTCTGCACAATTGTATATAAAGTTAATAACACATTTGTGATCGTGCACAAGTGCTGATATATTCAGGAAAGCACTGCTTGTGTGATGAATATAAAAAATAAATAATAATAATAACCTAGCACATTAGAAGCATTTAAATACTCCTATGAATGCACTTTGAAATACAAAATCGAATCATTCATTGACATTGAATTTCATTGTGAATCAGACTGAATTGAATAATTTTGCAAAATTGCAAAAAATGTTCCCGAATTGAATTGAAAACCTCTGAATCATCAATTGAATTGATTAACCGTGAACTCCAAAAGTAATAAAGTGATGGCAGAATTGTTATTTTTAGGCAACTATTCCTTTAAAAGTATAACTGAACAAAAGACACACATGTTTGAAGACAGTAGGTTGTTTCTATATTTCTTTGTCACTGTTTGCATCGACGCGTTTAAATGTTTGTGTGGTAGACGTACCTCTCCCACAGCATTGACTACAGGTAAGTGTCGAAGCCCCATGGTCCTGAACAGATTGAATACTTGGGAGACGTGTGTATTTGGAGAGACTGTATATGGACAGGGGTTCATGTAAGGAGTCACGTCCTGTAATAAAAACAAAAAAAATAAAAATAAATGAGGCTAATTATGTCTGAGAGAAACCGCTGAACAAACTGTCATCACTGCATGGCTCACTTTACAACAAGAGCACTTTAACACTTCCAATTAACACCAATTAACAGCACACATCATAGATAACTGACATATAGAGCACTAGTTTATGAGCTACTGAAGGGTCTGATGGGTCAGAGGACTTTACCACAATCATGCGTGGATTGAGAAGGGCCAGGTCGAGATCGTGGATGTCAGGGAATCGTGGGTAATCCTCAGTCATCTCTGAATGAGAGAGCCGTGGCTGTGAGGCGCTCTACAGAGGGCAGAGGAGAGAGTTTGCTCTATCTATTTGGCTGTATCTAATAGTGCGGTGAACAGTTCAAACAGGTCAAAATTAAGTATCAATATAGTCTGATTATCACTAAAGAGACCCTTCTGAAAAAGTACTACACTTTACACTTTTTACTTATTATGGAAATCATATACTTTAAAAGACTATTCTTGCATGCAAACTGAATGTAAAATTTTAAGACTCTTACTTGCATTTTATTTGGAATTAAACAACAATATCTTATAGTTTAAATTTATATTACATGCAATGAGATTAACTTTTGAGTGCTTTTTGACCACTTTTAAGTAGGACTTAAGATGACTGCAGAATGTACTGACCAGCATTTATGGTAACAAATATATTTTAAATGTCATTTACTCGTCTACTAAAATTTTCACGTTATTTAAATATATCTGTAATGATGAAGTTGTAATTTAGCACAAAATGAAAATTCATTAAATGTAATATCAAATAACACTAAATATTTAACATTCAAGTATCAAGTACATTACATGTGCTTTAGTATTTAGTCAACACATCAAGTGTACTTCTTTAAAGCATGCCAAAAAATTATAAATTAATACTTAAAATACATCAAGATATATATATATTTTTTACTTTACAACAAAGTGCACTTTTTAAAAGTGATGTCATGCATGCACACTCTCCAAGTACACTTAAGTGGCCTTTTATTTTATTAATATTATATTTTCTGCAAGTACATTATTTTACTTTTAAGATTTAAAGCACACTGCATGTGCACATTCAATAGAAATCACTGGGTTGTGATCCGTGGTTAAGAAAACAGGAGGGCATGGTGTCATTAATAAAAAAGGAAAGTTATTACATTTTGATGAAAGATTATAATATTTGATGAAAATATTAACATATTTCTGAGCGAAGCAGACTATCTAGAAATAAAATAATGAAGTGTACAGGACTTGATTTTACTTGGTGGGATTTGATTGGACGAAATATGTTAGATCATTAGTTAATAATTTTCTTCCCTGCCCATGTGGTCTTGATTACATTTGCAAAATGGTGGATATTACATTTTAATAATATATAAAAAACATAAAACCAGAAACAGTTATTGATAAAGCAAATTGAATCAGTATAATTTCATATTCACTTTCAAGTAACCGTAAGTATAGGGCATAACCATAAGTGAAGATCTGACCGCCTTTGAAAAGACTGATAGAGTAAGATGAGGAAAATAAAGGCAGAGAGAAGGAGAAGAGACAGGAAGAGAACAAACAAAAGGGAGGAAGGAGAAAGGGCACAGGAGGAGGGCTCTGACTGACACTGACCGACTGGTTTTCAGCGTAGCAGACGCCGCGGATCAGCAGGTTGACGAGCTGCGAGCGCAGGATGAGCCCGTGAAAGGTGAGCGGCCGAAACCTCTCCTCCATGGTCCACTCCTCACTGGGAGACTGGTCCGGGTACAGGTTTGGGTACGGCACATGTCTGCCAACATCCACCACAACAACAGACAGCAGACGCATTTAAAGGACTCATGTGGAGAAAAAAAACATTTGTCTCACCCACAATACTGTCACAATTCAAAGCTCCTTCCCAGTCCACTAACATCATTTATTAAAAATAAACAGCATAAAGGAAACCATTCAAAAATGATATATGATCTCCTATATTTACAATATTCAGCTAACTGGTCTGCCCTGGATTATATATAGGAGTCTTAAAGGGGACCTATTACGCAAAATTCACTTTTGCAAGGTGTTTGGACATAAATGTGTGTTGGCAGTGTGTGTACACAACCACCCTATAATGACAAAAATCCACCCACTCCTTTTTTTTAATCCCCATAAATAATAAGCAGTGTCTCACAATGGCCTATTTTTAGCATTGGTGCTAATGTGACGTCACATTAGCCACAGGCCCCGCCCACGAATGTTGACAGACTGCCGTTTTAATATAGCGAGCGAGTTCACAGCGAGTTGTACACAGTCTGCCACTGCTGCACTGACGAGAATGTCTCCCAAGCGTTTTAGGTGTTCTGTTGCTGGATGTATTAATCCACATAGCTCTCTCCATTTACTCCCGAAATCTGAGCCGCTGAAGACGAGGCGGATTAATTTTGTTTTAGAAGAAAATGCTCCCTCAACTCTACAGAAATTTGTTTATGTCTGCGCGAATCATTTTACACCGGACTGCTTTGTGAATGAGGGTCAGTATAAAGCAGGTTTTGCACAAAAGTTGCTCCTGAAGGATGGAGCAGTGCCAACTGTTCGTGATCCAGCTAACGTTATGCCATCTAGAAGAAGTAAGTATCACGCGTTTGTTTTCCAAATTGCCTTTCTGAAAGAGCTTCTTGGCACTCTGTAAGGCTAATGTTGCTAAAGCTACCATTGTCTGTCTGTTTTCACTGATGCTGCCTTCACGTGCTACCAGAATGATCGTGAACAGGAATGTGGTAGTTAAAAATTGCATATGAAAGCAATGTGAAATCGACCGCTTGAATTTGTCTAGCTCATAATCATATTCGGGACTAATAAAGTTCGTGTTAGGACGCAATGGCACCATGAGACCAGCTATGTTGTTATTTTTATAGCGCCATGCTCCCCGTCTGTGTAATTCATGAATAATCTGACAGGGTGCAGAATTCGGCACGACACCGGTTCGAACATGTATGGCTGAACACTGCTACTAGCAGTTTCTGACATTTTCAGTGCGTGAGAGAGTGTTTTGTTATTGCTGGCATGATGCTGGTGCGCAAGCTCTAGAAACTCCACCCTCTTCTGAAAGGGGAGGCGGGAGCACCAGCTCATTTTCATTTAAAGGGACAAACACAAAAAACAGCGCGTTTTGGCTCATACCCTAAAAAATTTTCAACAACGTATAAAAAATTATCTGTAGTGTATTTTGAGCTAAAACTTCACATACACACTCTGGGGACATCAGAGACTTATTTTACATCTTGTAAAAAGGGGCATAATAGGTCCCCTTTAGAGATAAAGGAGTAAAAACCTGTTAAATTCAAAGTGTGTCACTAAATGCTGTTTTTGCTGTTACCTTGAAAAAAATTATAAGTGGACTTCTAGTTATAAACACTACATAAGTACAGAATATGTAGTAAATATTTGTGTGACAATATACACTACATGCAGAGTACTGTGTGATATTCGACTCGGTAACAGGGTGATAATAGATCTGGAGGTAAAAGGTCAAAGTTCATCGCCTGACCTCCTCTCCAGCATCTGCTGAAGGATGTCCTGCCCTTCCTCCGCCGGCTCCACAGCAGTCTGCTCGTCACACACGTTGCGCAGCTCACTTGACGGGTATGATTTCATAGACTGACACCTCCGCCTCTGCTCCCCCGCACGTGTCAACACGCTGCTTTTCTGAAGGAGAGGAAACATCAGAGAGAAACCGGGTTTTTTGGACATGAGAACAAAAAGGAATACAATAAGGTTCAATTTGTTAACATTAATGCATTAGGTATCATGAACTAACAATGAACAATCATTTTGCAGCATTTATTAATACTACATAAAGTTAATTTCTGCACATATTAATACATTGAACATATGAAGATTAATAGTAATTCGTCAAATTTTACAGTACATTAACTTTTACATTTTAAAGTTAAATGGACATTAGTTCATGGACTATAAACAAACATCAATTGATATATTATGCAAAAAAATTATTAATGTTAATGAATTAAAACAATACAAACACTGTATCAACCATTTTCATAGCGGAGCCATTAGAAGTCTTTCAACCACTCTCTCCGAAAACTGTACGCCTTCTATTCGGCTGGTGGATCAACATTCACCACATGATCGCTATCACCAGCACCATTATTTGTAACTTTAGGTGGTTCACAAAAGAAATCTGTCAGTGTTTCTTTTTTTATTTTCTCTCTTCTTCAGCCCTTTACATTCCCCGCGTGGGGTAAGTGATTTCTCGTAGCCAATGTTGACATTTGAAATCACCAAAACAAACACGCCCCTACCCAAAAAGGGTCTCGCCCCTATTTTGATAGCTCTGCCCCACACATACGTACGCCACCCAGGCAACGATTAGTTCTGTGAAACAAAGCAAAACCAATGTTATACCGGATGCGAGTGGCGCGGCGCGACAAAATACTATGAAACTCATCATAATCAGTGATGCTGTCTACACCATAGATATATATATATATATATATATACACATATATATCTATGTATATTCTACACTGGATGCGGAGCGGCACGACACGACAAATCCCCGACAGAAAACTGCTGCTGCGTTCTATTCATGACGTATTGACACA